GGAACGAAAAAACGTCATGCACCCAACACGGGGAAGCGGGGAAGCCCGAGAGCAGAGAGCCCCGCTGTAAAGACCCCGCAGGCGAAAGCCGACCGAGGCGCAGGACGGACAGACAGGACAGATGCGGCAGGACAGAGACAGAGCGGACGAATACAGAGACGAGAAGATAGACAGAAGACAGGACAGGACGCGACAGGGGAGAGACGAGCGGAGAGAGGAGAGAGGATGCAGAGAGAGAGCGAGGAGAGGAGACGGGGCAGAGCAGGCAGAGGATGAGAGAGAGAAGAGAAGAGAGAGAGAGAGAGGAGAAGAGAGGGAGAGATGATTTGTGATCCCCGACGCCCCCCCCCCCCCCCGAAAGAGACCAAGAAGAGATAGCGATTAATAGAGAGAAGAAGAGAGTAGGAGAGAAGGATGGAAGAGGAGAAAGAGAGAGCGAAATAGAACGCGGAGACCACGGAATAACGCAACAAAGATGTCTCTGGATTAAACACGCGACATTCCAAATAAATAATAAACGCGCTGAGCGACTCCAAAAGAAGCAAGAGGACCTCCACCGGGACAGCCCCTCCCACATCGCTCCCACACCCCCCTACGACACAAGTCGGCTCTCCCTCGTAGCACACGTGCTCCGTGGGAACTGGCGCGCGCGTATTCCACGTCCTATTCACACAGATTGTCCGGTATAGCTATCGTAAGTCCCCCCCCCCATTAAGGTGGCGATTTCGCCAGGGGCCAGGACCTTTAGATGTTTTTCTCTTCAGCGCGTACGCTCGGCTGCCCTGTCAAATCGATTTGGACACTGGTCTCGGAATTCAACACTTGAAAGGGAGACTTTTACAACGCAAGTCGCCTTATTCTGTGTAGAGAGAGAGAGGAATTGCGGCACTCCCCTTCTCTACCCTCAACCCACCCCCACCCCCACGCGCACACAAAGCAAATGTGCATACAGCACGCGTGCACCTGTGTACGAATAAATGATTTCGGGGGACAAACAACAACATATGCTTAAGTTATTATGTATCGAAATTGATGTATATACACATAAAACATTTTAGCTTCTGAAATACGTATCTAACAAAAGCACAATCACAAAATCCGGAGAAATTAAGAAGGGATACATTGAAGGTACATGCAGCAGACCTGTCTTGTAAGAAACGCATGAACATTTCTATATATAGCTGTCCACTGAAGAGGTATACTGTGCTCAGTGGCGCTCTCACATACAAGTTTACACACCATCAGAAATACAATACGGATACATTTAGATACATTGTACAACATGTATTTTTGATACATATACATGTGTGTGTATGTATGTATATATATATATATATATATACAGGGGTCGAAATAAGCGATGGTGCAATGGTCCGGGGCCATCAAATAATCAGGAGGACCATCAGATTTTCAAAGTCAATGGTCCGACGAACCATTGAATATTTTGGTCCCATTTTACGGTA